GAATCTACCACACAGATAGCACTAGTTCCATCCCTGAATAAAATCTGTTACGTAACTGCATGACCGACATGGGGGTGAATAGCGCAGCAGCCCGAGAGTGGCATCTGGCCCCTCTTAGTTTCGAAAGCACGGCTCACAGGAGCAACTTTTCATCTCTCTGAGCCTGCCTCGGCACGCAAACTTTCCTTCATCTCCTCTCCTTGGCACTTCTTATATTTTATTTTATTTTCGTCGTGCACATTATTTGAAGTTACTATAGCAACGTGTCATCAGCCGGTACGCATAGTAATGTGGGCATTTAGGTACCAAGCTCCCAAAGTTGGTTGTTTCCCTACCTCTGCGATCTCATCACTCCCACTACCCCCAGGTGAGAGGGGGGGATGCCTCTGCAGCAGTCAGGCCCTCTCCCCTATTTTGTTTCTTCTCCAAGGAAAAAGAAAAAAAAAAAAAACCTGATGGCCTCTTCCTTGCCTCACTTGGCACTGCAGGTCTCGTGTGTGTGTGTGTGTGTGTGTGTGTGTGTGTGTGTGTGTGTAGGTGTGTTTGCATTAGAGGTTGTTAAATAGATATATTTAACTTGAGTGTTATATACCAAAATTATTGGCATTATCATTGTGAAGATGATGATTCTTTAATGCAAAGAAGAGAGTACAAGGTTTTTGAGGAAGACCACTTTCAGATTAAAATCATCTAGTATACCAGCTAATTAACTTACTCACCCAATACTGTCTGTCTCTGTCTCTCTCTCTCTCTCTCTCTCTCTCTCTCTCTCTCTCTCTGTCTCTCTCTCTGTCTCTCTCTCTGTCTCTCTCTGTCTCTGTCTCTCTCTGTCTCTGTCTGTCGCTCAGTCTCTCTGTCTCCCTCCCTCCCTCTCTCTGTCCCTCTCTCTCCCTCTCCCTCCTTCTTCCTCCCTCCCTCCCTCGACCCCCTCCTCTCTGTCTCTTTCCATCACCTAGTGAAGAGACCCTGACTGCTTTCTCTTGCACTTTCACATCTCTCCCAAGTGTGCAAGACCTGGCTGTGTGCTGTTGGGCTGAATTAATTAAAACAATTGATCGTCTTGGATCACTGAAGAGAGTTCTATATGGCAAATAAGCCCTGCCACTCATTGCATTAAGTAGCCCCTCACCAGCTGAGTGCCTGTGATGACTGTACTTATTTTTACACATTTGACCTAGTTTCAAACTGTGTCTCCTCATGCTGTGATTCATTAGCCACATTTTAAACCACCCTGATAGGAGTGAGGTGATTCTGCCTGATTTGCGCCAGAGTCTCCGGTTCAGTATCTCTCTGGAATTTAATATGCAAGCCCCACTGGTGTTGTGTTTTAAGAAGCAATTTCCTATCCAGACACCTGGCATACTGCTTGGGTATGGATGAGTGGCTGCCTCATCCCTTAGTAGTAAATACAGGGCGATTATAGATATCTGCCAGGGATAGGATGAGGGGATTCTCATTAGGCTGAACTATAAGGGATCCCCTGCCCCTTAACCCCCCCATGCAGTATTCACGCTTTTCCAGATTACTGGTGAAGCTAGAGTTTGGGCTCCTAGGTGATAAAGTTTGAGCAGTGTCAGTGTTAGGGTTGTTTTGGTTCCTAGGGCAAATGCAGACTGATTACCACCCCACCCCCACTCTCAGTTCCTTCTCAAAAAGTAAGATATGGTTGGCGGTTATGGAAGTACAGTCTCGAGCCTGTAAAAAGGGAGAGGGGCAAGATGCATTTGCCATTCTGAGGATACTATTAGAAAAGAGATGCCTGTCAGAAAAGCGTAGTGTTATTCTATCATTCTATCATTGTATGACACAATGCTTTTTTAAAAAATTCAAATGACAGAGAAGAGCGTTTTCTGAACACGAGGCTGCTACGGTGCCTCACTCCATTTCAGGTATCAGTTGTCCACATCTGTGGGATTTCTGAAGGATCAAGCACTAAAGTGGGCTAGACACTACAGAAGAAAGACGGGATGCTCCCAGCTGGAAGTAAACCATTGCCATTTTTCATTAACAGCCAAATGCAGGTAACTTGTCCAAAGTTCAGGCACAATGTGCTACAAATCCTACTGAAAGGCACCCAGCTGGGTTTTTCTATGTGGTAGTTAGAACAAAGAAATTAAGAAGCTGGTAAAAGTAATTTTGGTTGATTACTGAACTCTAACATATTGATCAACTACTAATAAAATCATAATGGTTTCTTTCATAAAATGGTCACTCTCTCTAACAGGGACCAGAATCCCCTCCTTTCCTTTTTCTTTCTTTCCTTTTTTTTTTTTTTCTTTTAAATCTAAGCATAGAAGTTTCTCTAAACAGGGCTTTAGAGAATGTAGCCTTTCAAAGCTAATTCCTAGCAACCTGTGCTCTACGGTTTACGTTTTCTGTTTTTACCCCTTCAAATTCAAATCAAGCCCCTGGAAATAACAAGCATTCCGTATCTGTGCATCTGGGGCAGCCTGCAGCTCTGACAATGGTGGATTCCCCCCACACACTGCCACACACACCCATACTCTCTCATAATCCTAGAGCTCATTTAAGCCAAAGCTTTAAAAGTAAACTATTATCCGAGAGACGACAGCATTCTCTCTTAGATCATGGATCGCACAACAAAATAGAAACCCTTCCCCACATCTCTTACCTTGAAGCAGGGCAATTACCTGCAGAGGCTCTCCCCGTCCTTGCCAAACGAGTGTGGCTTTGAGCAGCAGCAGAATAACTCCAAAAGAAGGAGAAAAAAGTCCTTTATATTGTAATTTCACTGTTTATATGCAAGAAGTGTAGTGGGTCTGCTCACGTAGGAATAAATAAAAAGCCGAACAAACTGCACAGCAGCTACCATGTGAAAAGAAAAGACCTCTAGTGGCCACAGTCTGAATTCTTTAAGGGAGGAAGAGAGATGAGATGGAAGGAATAGAGGAAACACAGGCTTAAGTGTGTGTAAACACACACACACACACACACACATTCACACACATTCACATCCACCCACACTACTACACCTCTATACCCTTCAAACTCTAGGTATAAACAGAAGTTCTTTATGTGATTTTGTGATTTAAGTAAGACCAGGCTAGGTTAGCAGCCACAGGGATGTTGCTATCTGGTTTGCAAGGAGTGTGAATAATTTCACAAACTCACGACCACCCCCTGAAGACTTGAGCAGAGTGGCTTTTACTGTGAACCATCAAGAGGGTGAGGCCCACCAAGGGTCATAGGCCAGTGCTCAGCACTCCGGCTCTGTGCCTTGCCAGATTTCCATCTTTTCTAATCAGTTATGGTGTACAGGTACGGTTGTGACCGGCCAGCAGGACCAGCTTCCTGTACGTGTGTGCCCTGCTTAATTTTACAGAGTCCCTTGCTTTAAAAGACCACACAGCTACTTGGAAATTCTCAAATATTTGAAACAAAGGCCCTACACTTTCATTTTCTCCTAGGTCCCACAGCCTACAGTGCTAGTCTTGAATACCATCCCAAACTTTCTAATTGAAACAACCTGAAAGCAGCAAAACAAAACAAAACTGCATCCATATTTTTGGGAGCTACTTTGGTGAATAAGAGCTTGAGAAACATTCGATTACCCAAAAACAAACAACAACAACAAAACCCCATTCAATTGCCCAAAAGCTTTCTGCACAGGAATGCAGAAGGGGCTTACTGGGGTCTTCAGGACCTATTTTTCACCACTGATACAAAATGATAAATCTGTAATTTGTGGGTGTTTGCAGATATCGATGGATTAATAGTTGGGTTTTTTTTTTAATAAAGGAGAATATTTTATAAACAAAGGCAGAAGCTTATTAAACCAAAGCCATTGTTTTGTTGTTTAAATGTAATACTTCTAAGCCTCACCTTAACAGCAGTGGCTCCTGGAGACACCTGTGTCATGCCAGCCAGGCCATTTCTTGCACGTCTGCTGTGGCTGGGTTACACCCAGGAGTTCCTGGGGGTCCTGCTTCCTGCCAAGATATGAGCCCCAGAGAGATCTTGCAGGAGGCAGCTGAGAGCAACTTCTTGCCCCTTTTGGATCAGTGGCCGCTGTTTCCCTTCCAAGTTCCAGAACAGACCTCCATCCACATTGCTTTGGGTGAGAACCTGAGCAGAAAACACACCTGAAAAACACACCTTACCATGGGGGCAGAAAGCCTAAGAGGCTTTCAGGCGCTGCATTCCACTGCCTCAAAGGTGGGCTCTTAGCCCTCCTCTTCCAAGGATCCTTCCCTTCCCACCTGCTCTCCAGGTCTCTGCCATAATTTCCCCCTTGTCTGGATCCTTTAGGCCTTTGGTCTGCTTCCCAGATCGAGCATCTTGTACTTTCTCCTTCGTGGGTATTCTTCATGTTTTCCCAACTAGACCATGAGCTCACAAAGAGTAGCAGCGCCTCTTCTCATTCCTTCAGTCCTCAGTAGACCTAATATGCATGGATGCCTGCGGGTGCTGGCTCTCTCACTGGCTGACCCGGGGTGATCTAATAGCGCGTCCTTCTGCAGAGTACTTTCATGTGCTCCTGGGTGCAATGGGGTATCTGCTCCTTCCGGCAATTTCTCAGGGGGCAGATAGGGGCAGTCCAAAGGACTATTATCTCACATTACTGAGGAGGCAATTGGGATTTGCATGTACAGCATCATGTACAGAAAACAAAACCACCTCTAGGGCCATGACATAAGCAGGATTTCCTGCCACCCATGCAGTGCTCTTTGCCCAGTGTGCAAGCAGTAGGAGAGATGATGGATCACATCTTAGTTTTGTAATTGAAGCTCTGCTTGCAATCCAGGCACATAATATGTGTTCAGTGAATGTTTTATTGGTAAACAGGCAATAAGGAGCCATTTTCTCATAGGGAAGCTTTATGTACTGCTCTGGTAAAAGAGTTCTCCATCGCTAGATGGCTCTTTCAGACTTACCTGGGTTGGTTGGATACTTTCCACCTTGAAGTCAAAGAAGTGGAGAAGATCGGTTCTGTGGCACTTTTTCCACTAGTTCATAGTGTTTTTCTTTATTTCTTACAGAGTCACTTCGTAGCGTGTATGACAGCCATCTTAGACCAGATGGGTGACCAACACTATTCCTTCTATATTGAAACCTTCCAGTCCAGCTCGGACCTTGTGGTAAGTCTGAAAGATGCTGGTGACAGGGCAGGGGAGAGGAGTGTGTCATGTCATACTTTTGGTTCTCATGAGTTGAGGGGCAAGAAAGTCTCCACAATCTTGAGTACGTGTATGTGTTTATGGTTATGCACATGCATGCCTAATTCCCTGTCTGTAATATATTTCACCCCTGGAGAATATCTTCAGTCCATGTTGGAATCAAGACCTGACTGACCTAGGTATGCTTTCACAAGTATTTATTAATAAGTTATGGATATTGTGGGACTTAACAGCATGAGTGTTGAGGTCCCATGGCTATAGATTTTTTTATTTTATTTTATGGAAAAAAGGTAAAACAAAATTTCATAACAATGTAATTGGAAAATAACAATAGTTAATACATTGTATATTGTTATCTTTTTAATATTT